CTTAAAATCTTTACAGTATATTCGTCTTCCCTCATTTTACGCAAGCCTTTAACCAGCGAATGACCGATGGAAAGCGAAGGCTTAAACGTTACGTTGAGCGTACCTTCATGGTAAATCTCCCCCACAGTTCCTCCAGTGCAACAAAACGACACCTATTTCAACCTTTTACCGTTTTTTTTTTTGTTTTTTTGTTTTGCTCTTTTTCAGTTATATTCTTCAGTGGTTTCACTTCCTCAAAAGAAGAGTTTATCTTCGGGAGTGAAGTAATCTCCGACTTCGATGTCGACTTTTTTCTTTCCTTCCTTAATAAGCTGCAATTTAATCATCGGTGCCACATCTTCAACAGATCTTTTTCCAGTTTTATCTTTGGGGTAGTCTACTGTTAAGTGCAGGGCGCAACCGGGACTTATCAACTCTCGCTCGTGCGCAGCAGCGAGCTGGTTGACCACTCTTCTTTCAACCTGCAGCAAATTCAATAACTTGCACGTTAGAAAAGGACATTGGTTTCAAAGGCAGTCTATTGTCTGGTGAAACTTTCGGCGGCTTAGTAGCTAGCCAAGGTTATTGTTGAGCTTACAATTCTTTACTGCTGGAGGCGTTTGCTTGGTTCACTGAACGGTTCAACTAAAGATTCGTGAAACTGTAGACTAAGCAATCTCTTTCCGCGCTTGAAAACGACTTGTATGTTTTCCCACGCTTTGAAACACGCGGCTACACGGTTTCCCGCGCTTGACCGCAAGGTTTCGATTAGCCAAGCAGTATGAAAACTGATAATTTCGTTCTCTAAACGCAGACGCTCCTTGGAATTGCGTGAGAAGCCCGGGGGACTTGTACTAGTCTAAAAGATGTCAAAAGTTTTGCCAAAATCTTTATGCCGCACGTTTCACTACAAGAGTTACTCAAGGGCAAGCGGAATAAATCTTACTTCGTGTTTAATCGATCTCGCGCCGTAATGCACATCGTAACCATCGGCCAAGGCATCCAACACTTCTCTGTCCCAGGTCATGTGGATATCATGTCGACTTAACGCCTGCAAAATACAAAGGAAATACACATGGTCGATAGCAGGGACAGCATCTTCTGCAAAAGCCTAAGACTCTACTAACCATCTTTGACCAGAAATCCAGCTCTCTTGTGACCAAACTGAGAAGTTCTGAACGTGAAAATGGAAGAAAGTACACCATCTCGTTGATCCGACCCAGGAACTCATCCCGTCTAAAGTGAAGCTGTCAAAATCAACAAGAAACCAAGCTTGATCACAATACAAATCTTCTTTTATACTTACTGTATTTTTTCTTACATTTCAGTTTATTCATTCATTCTGTTCAGAAGACTTCTCTTTTGGAAGATGTGTATTCAAATATTATAAAATACATAATGCAGGTAAAAAAAAACCCGATCATAGAAAAGAATAGCTGTATTCCATATTTTATTAGTATAAATATACTAGCTCTATCACGAATGCCGTTCTCTGATTTCTGAGAGTGATAGTACGAGGGCTGCGCCCTCGTCAACTATCACGCGATAGAAATCTCGAGCTCATAATCTAATTGTGAACAGCTACCACAGGCTTACCTTGAGAATTGGTTGTACAACTCTCTCTTTAAACTTTCTTGAAATAGTGATCTTTTCGCTAATTTCGCCATCTAAGAGACGAATAAAAAGAGCAAAACCATTAAGAAACCGTTTACAAGACTTCAATTGTCCCTTTGTAATGATAATTGTCTGAGAGCCATCGTAACAACACTGACCCTCTTCTCTGTGTTCAGCTGCTTCTTTCGCTTCTCTTCTCAGATCCAAAGCGTGATTGGCTATTTCTTCACTAGCAAGGTTTGACGTCATCACAAAGATGGCGTCCTTGCAAACGATGGTTTTGCCTTGTCCATCAGTCAAACGGCCCTAAAATAAAAGCAGACTGATGCAACAATCAAGTATACAGCAACTGACTAGGAAAGTAAAATGTCAAACTATATCTCGAAGACAGATCAAACTGAAACACGACACCATCGGGCGTGGCACCTTTCTAGTTTAACAGGGGGGGCATCGCACCAGCCCACTTTCCCCTCCCCTCTTCATCCCCCGGAGTTCAAACGTTACCTCGTCGAACAATTGTAGCATAACGGTTAAAACGTCTGGGTGAGCCTTATCAACCTGGAACAATTAACGTAAGATAGCACATTTTAGTTACCAGCAACACAGGTCAAGTCTACTTTTCAAGTGAATCACTTGCAATATTATGTGGCATCATATAGACCTTTATTTAAGATTAATTAAGAAATGTAAAATCACACGCTCTGAGCTCACGAAATAACATGTTTCTAACCTCATCAAACAGGACCACAGCATTTGGACATTCTTTTAGTTTCTTGGTCAACTGTCCGCCCTGATCGTGTCCAATGTACCCAGGAGGGGCGCCAATCATCTTTGCCACCTTTAAAATAAGGATTAAGTGCGTTTTAAATGGAATTTTCTTTCAAAGGAAATTCATCATTTTTGAGCTAAGAATCATAAGACTTCAGACTTGCAAGACTAAAATCCGTAAGTCGAAAGTATGCCGTACTTAAGCTTGCAGGAAGTGTCTGTTATAGTATTTAATTTACAATAAATGATCTTGTATCCCAGTAAAAAACCTGCCTCTAGCATGGACCATCTCCAGTAGTCATTTACTTGTACTCTATAAAAAATGCTGAAGCTGCTTCAAACCTTACGCGTGGTCTGTGTATAGCGTTTTGGTGATTTCTGATTTCTTTTCTTGATAAATTAGTTTGCTGGTTTATATAAAAGACACTCTGTAGCTTGAAGGAGTTAAAGAGGAATAAAACGGTAATCTTTCACTTTAACACAATTCAAGCTGTTGTTGAGTCAACAAGTTGACTTTGACATCTTCATGTTAGCTTTCCAAACATTTTAGCCAATCACAGAGCCCAATAAGTTG